CTGTGGGGTAGGATACACCCCGGCAGGACCGGAGAAGAATACAGCTTGATGCCTGCGCATCTGATTAATCGCTTCGACAGCCATATTATGCAGAAAACATAACTCGCAAATCTAAATGTATTGAAGAATAGGTGGAAGGAATAAGATCGGAGCTGGGTAAGTGAAGGAAAAAAAGTAACTAAAGACCTTGTAGTTCAGTAGCCCAACAACACTCCGCCACTCGAAAATATCGTAGGGATCCCAGCTTTCGACATGATCCTTGCACTGTTCATAAGCGAGACGATAGTTTCTGGCAACATACGAGTAAAAAACCAATTTGAAGTGAATATTTCAAAAATGCAAACGACACCAACGCAAAAATTAAAACGGGAATGAAAGCAAAAGATCACAACAGATCTTTACAACTCACCTGTAAGCAGTATGGGTGTCCTGCCGCAGTTCCGAGAGGAAGGCAAGTTTGAATAGCTGACGAACAACTAATGCTGGTGAATTATTCGGTATAGACCGTGCTCGGATAGCCTGTAAATTTGATGAAAGAGTATCACAATCAACATGGAGGAACGATGAAAAGTAGACCAAAAGAAACACCACAGAAAAGAGAAAAAAGCACAACTTACCTTCAGTTTCTGCTGATAGAACCCTTGTGCCAACTCATGGAATGCAGACTCAAGCTTGGACACATAGCCCTAGAAGCACATATGCATGATAGCACAAAGATAAAGTTACAGGAATAAGAAAATGAAAATGAGGAAGAGTTTGATTTTTCCCAAGATTCTGCCTTCGATATTGTATTATCTGATAACTTAAAATATACAAGACAGATCCATGTAAATGGTTCGATTTTGAGGATAGATTATTCATAAATACCACAAAATACCATAAAAGCAAAAGTGGCAAACATGCAAAAAGTGAAACATATACAGTAAACATACACTCAAATCGCCAAGAATAGGAACCACAAACAGCTGTCTTGGTGTAAGGTGGCAGATTTGGCATAGTTCATGAGCACGCTCGGTTGCTAGCGGATCATCACTTGATGTTGGTACTGACCTAAAAGTCTATT